TTTACTGTCACCCTCTTTCATTGCAGCTTGATTGTCAGCAAGTGTTGGGAAAATAGACTGTAATGACTTGCTATTTTTATACCTGCAGAAAGAAATTGCTAATCAACAGAAAACATAACATTTCCTGAAATAGTGATCACACGGCCTTCTTTCCAACTTCAATGAATAGTGTAAAGAGACAATATGTAGCATATATAGACATCAGGCTCAACTATACAGTAAATAAAAGAAAGTAAACAAAAGTTTACAATGAAAATGCCGATGCCACAGAATGGTTTAGCATATGCCTTTCAGTTGTAAATTCGTTCTTTGCCTTGCTAAAACAAGATCTTCTCAAACAAAACTACAAATGTGGATAAAATTCGAGCACGTCCGCACGATCACTTAAATGAGAAAGTGCAAAGGTGCCCCTTGGCTGATTGTTAAATGAACCAATTAAGTCAATAGCCCCAGTGGGAGGTTCATCTAGTTCATCATTGCAGCCAACTCTAACCATAACATTGACATTCCGCTATTTTTGAAGTCCAGCCACGTCCGCACGATCACTTAAATGAGAAAGTGCAAAGGTGCCCCTTGGCTGATTGTTAAATGAACCAATTAAGTCAATAGCCCCAGTGGGAGGTTCATCTAGTTCATCATTGCAGCCAACTCTAACCATAACATTGACATTTCCGCTATTTCTTTGAAGTCCAGCAGCATCATTCTGAATCATCCCTTTAACAAGAGCAGGTTTTCTTCCAATTTTGATGCATTTGGTTCACAAGCTTCACTGCAATGAGCAACCTCCTTCACTAATCTAATTAAATTTTCTGAACCAAATGGCTTGTCAGAATTTTCTTTCTTTTAGCTGAATTCCAAAAGGAAATTTAATAAAATAATGCATTTAGGGGTATTTGAAGTTTGAACTTAAGACCTTTTGAAAAAGAGGTTAAGACTTAACTACTATGCAGCTATGCCAACTTAAATCTTTAAATCTTTGGTATAATCTTACAAACATAATATATATAACATGAGTCACGCTTTCCCAATGCTATTCTTCTAAAAAAAATCCATGAAATTATTAAAATTTCCAACAAATACCCTAAATTCTAGAAAATCTTAAAAAATCCTAAATTCCTAAAAATCTAAATATGTAACTAATATATTATTTGCATTTGAATCAAAAAGTTTTTCTAAATTGGTAATATAAGTACTTGTCTTTAAAATCATGCACATAAATTATCAAGAGATATTTATTGTCATTTAACTCGATTGTCACCCACTGTACTGGAGTGGCGATGCTGTGATTCGATTGTCAGTCGCACCCTCTTCATTAATTTTGTTGTAGTTTGGGCCACTGCTGTTGGGATCCATTGCTCACTATAGAACCATTTGTCTCAGACTTCACTTTTAAGGTTTGGATTTGTTTCATTTTTTATACTTTAATTTAAGTAAATTCGAATCATTAATAAAGTAGATTTAGTTGAAATTGATTGGATTCATGTAAGAAACTCGCAGGTTTCATTCCTTAGGATTAATACACTTTTTTGTATCTAAACTATATTTTAAATTGTTATTTTGATACTTAAAGATTTTTTTTAAATAAGTTACTAATATCTTTTCCGTTATAATTTTAGATGTCTGCTGTTTAAAAAATATTTTTAAAAAATTATATGTAACACGTGTCACTTAACAGTTTTTTAACGGTAGACACAAAAATATAACGAAGAAAATATTAGGCGCCTATTTTTAACGAAAAATTCTTTATGCAATAAAAATCAATTTGAGATATAGTTTAGACGCCTAAAAGTGTATTAAGCCTTCCTTGAATACTTATCTTTTTCTTGTTTATTTATTTTGTTAAAGGTACGAGTAAAATGGGAGAGAATTTAAATAATTTGTTTTTCTAGATTGAATGAAGAATTCATGGTTAATGGTATGTTAGGAAAGTGGTTAAGCATGATATTCAAGAAACATAGAAATCTTTCTTATTGATTCCAGTAACCAGATACATTGCTTTTATAGTAGCTAACAGAAGCTTAGCACAAGTCTAGAAGCTTTGTAACTACCTTAACTGACTGCTAACAACTCTAACAGCTCTAACTCTCTTAACTAACTTTAGCTACTTAGTTAATCTAATATTCCTCTACTTTCTCCTCCTCCTTCAACAATGTAACACGCACATCTTAGCCCTGAACAATTGAAAAGATGAATAATTGAATCGAAAGTGTCGATACTTCCTTTCGTTCTTCTTGAATCGAAAGTGCTGATGTTTCCTTTCATTCTTTTTATTCACCTTCATTTCTTTCTTCTTCACCCTCTTTTACAAGGTAAGACACACATACTTCGGTTCGACTTGAATTCTAAATGAGAAGATGATGAATGATGGGTGTAAGATTTCAAGTTCTCCTTCCAATCTTTCTTGTGCAAGTATAGGTCTCTAACATCAAATAGTAGAGAGACTGATGTAAATCCTAAAGTTGACACATGATGGATCTGACAATCAAATAATAGATTTAGTTAGTAATTATATCGAAAACTATGTTGAGGGGTTGCAGGCAAGTAGAAGGAATGTCACCCCCTCGATTAGGGGACAAGTGTTTTACCTTCTCTGCAAATTGTCACTCTTCTGCAAGAGGAGTCTCGAGGCCTTCAGAGTTTTTATGATATCACAATATTCACCTTAAGTTCACTTCGTCATTTCCTTTAATTGGCTGTAATTCAACATTATCTGACAATTCCATTACCAACTAAATCTATTACCTAACAATGAGGTCTGTTTGTCAACCTATCAATAACCATCAACTCTAGAGCCAACACAAACAAGCTAAAGAGAATCTAAAACCTCACATCCATTGTTCATCGTCTTCTACAATCCTTTTCTTACCTTTCTCCATACCACCACTTACAACTCTTCATCTAATCTAATCTAAAAAGAATGAACTACGTAAGACAATCATCTTCCTAATCATGCATTCAACATCATTCAATTAGAATCAAGTGTTGCTCAATTTTACTATAAATGTTCTCTATTATTTCATATACAAAAATGTCTAGTGTTTTCATACTAATTAGCAATTACAAGGTTCTTTATATTTGATACAAATCCATGCATGCCCAACTATGGGGTGGGATCTCAACTTAAAGCAACCGTGACAGATATTAGGCCTTTTCATTTTCAACTCTCAGTGAATGAACTTGGATATCAGAAGCACATAAAATTTAACCAAGACTTGGACGACTGCTTTTTTTTTTGGGACTGGAAATAGGTGGTCAATAGAGCAACAATGGTGGGACTTGGGAGGTCTGCCCCACGGCAATGGCTGTGACTTCATATACGGAGGAGCTGATCCTGCTTTTGCAGATCACCTAGTGTTTTTGTCCATCATTCTCTCTCTTTTTCTCTCAAAAGAATCTTTATATGAATTTTAGGTACACATACCTGATTCTAACCTAAACGACAAGTTAGTCGAACTAAATCTATTGCCCGGTTGTGACCATTTCCATCCTCAGTCCCATACTAAGCGAGATTATATGTTTCCACATTGCTTAAGACAACTCCCTGGTCAACACTATCATTCTTATGTAACATATCATGTAATGTCAACAATAGCATAACGAACTACCAATCAAAATCAAACCAAGTATTGCAAGAGATAAATCATGTCAATTCACTCGAATGCCAAGTTAAAAAAGAGGGTCTAAAATATTTAGTATAAATTGGAAATTTCTTCAAAAGGAAAAGCACTAGTCATTGTCACTTCATTCGAATCAATACTTCTAATTAATCCAGAAATACCAATAAAACTCAAAAAGAAAAACTACCCTCATGCTTAATGGTCTAAACCATAATCGACAAAACCGTTAACCAGGAGGGGTTCCTAATCAAACAAACCGAATTCCAAGTCATCATCACTCTCTTCCTCTGGCTCCTCCTGCAAATGATCAAAGAATCACATGTTAAACAAAATGGTGCAAAGAAATCAGTTAACTTATTTCTAATTTCTAGTCCCACCTTCTTCTTTTCCTCTGCAGGAGGAGCAGCAGCACCACCTACACCAGCAGCTGCAACTGGTGCAGCAGCGGCAACCGGATCACCACCACCAGCTCCAACATTGGTTATGAGATTCTAAATGTCACACTTCTCAAAAAGCTTAGCAAACAAGCTTGGCCAATAAGACTCGACAGTGACATTTGCAGCTTTAACTAGAGTGGCAATCTTCTCAGCCTATTAATAACAGTTAAAGAAACAGAAAAGAGAACTTTCTTCCCATACAAATGGAGAATCCTCAACAAAAAATAATCGAACTCCTATTTTTTTCAATAACCCTATGAGAGATATCAAAAAATAATTCCAAAGCATAAACCATAGAACCCTAAAATATTTGCATAAAAAGGATACGGTGAAGGGGATGCCATCATCATGGAGAATCAAAGCAGCATAAGAGCAAGCAGCTTCACTAACAGAAGACATCGTTTATGCTATCAACATCAAATTAAAATCCAATCAAAGGGTTTATAACAATACCAACACAAGTAATCAAAAAACTAAATTTCCAAAGAAACAAACAAGGAAAGGCCTCACTACCTTAAAGATGAAAACTTGATGCGCCGCTCTCAAAGCAAGTTCTGGTAGGGTTTCTCTTATGAGGAAAAGGGTTCTTAAACTAAGAAAAAAGTAAATTGGGCTCCTACGTTTTTGGAGGCCCATTTAACCAAACAAATAAAATCATGGTGGTTGTGAACAAATTGGCAGTTATATAACATTATTATTATTATTATTATTATTATTTTGAAAAAGTTATATACATTAGGAAAAACAACTGCAGCTAAAAGACCACCAACAACAACAACAAAAAACACATCACCGATAAATTAATGAACGTGATACACGGTTGCACGAGAGCTGGAGGAAGGCCAGCGGGAGAAAAATATAAAAGCTTTTTGGTTTGATTGATCATTTGATGCGATCATCAGAAGAAAAAAAAAAGTTCTTTTTTTTTCCAATTTCTCATTTAACCTTTTTTTAACCACTCTATATTTGGCTTCTGGGGTGGTTCCGGTTTTCTTTTTCTTCTTGGTTGGGATTCTAAAGCCATTTTCTTTAATTTTTCTCTGTTTTCTTTGGGAGATTCCTCTGTTTTTTTTTACATGTCTCAACAAAGGCAATTCCAGATGGTGGGTGGTAACAATAACAATCCAGGAGCAGGGCAGTACAATGACACGACTTTTACGAAAATCTTTGTTGGTGGATTGGCTTGGGAAACACAAAGAGATACCATGAAGCGTTATTTTGAGCAATTTGGAGAGATTGTTGAAGCTGCTGTTATCACAGACAAGAATACCGGGAGATCCAAGGGTTATGGCTTTGTAAGCTTATTGATCCCTTTTGTTAATATATAAAAAAACCAATTAAAAAGTGATAATTTTTTTTGGTTTCCAGGTTACCTTTAAGGATCCAGATGCAGCCATTAGAGCATGTCAAAACCCTTCTCCTACCATCGATGGAAGGAGGGCGAATTGCAACCTTGCTTCATTGGGTGCACAGAAGACTCGTCCACTAACTCCTCAACATGGTTTCTTTCTCTCTCTTTCTAGTAATATTGGTCCTGGTGAATATTCAATTCAATATTTGGGGGATGGAAAGAAGTCATTGTTTGATAATGATATTTCAAATGTTCAAAATCCTTTTTTTTTTCTCCTTTGTTCATTCTCAAGATGTGTGTGTGCTTTTTTTACTATATTGGGAAAACATTTCGTGCTGGTTTGTGTTGCACAATGTGTTCTGGTAAAATGAAAATGTGGATCTAAAACAGATTGTTTGAAAACAAATGCAGGAGGTGGACGGTTTATACCAGCACCTGGATTGATGGCATCGCCTGTGTATCGTGGTTCCTCATCAACATTAATCCAACAACCAAATGGTCAATATTCAATTCCTTACTCTGCTTACGGGTGAGTTTAATTATTCTAGAACTGAAATTCAATTCGAATCCCTAACCTTGATTGTTCAGGCAGTTTCCTTTTAACATGCATTATAGTACTCTTCTTTGTTTCATTTGTTTTCTTCCATCATCTTCATTCTCTGATTGTTTACTTTCAGGTATACGGGATATTCACAGGACGGTATTTATCCTTTGGTTAGTGTTTACAAACAGAGATTGAGCATAAGAAATAATGTACACAACTTCCTTGACGTTGCTTTGGTTAGCTAAATTTTCATGGTGTTTTTGCAGAACTATTATAGTTTGTATGGGGGTCAGCAGTTTTCACCTTACTACGCTACTGGAACATCGATGACACCGGGCATGTTTCATAATTTGTATCCATTTTATGCTCAACATGGACAAAACAGCCAGGCTTATGGTTTTGGTGTCCAATATCCTCATATGTTGCAATATCCTTATTTGCCTCATCAGTATAGCTCAACCGGGAACCTATCGCTTCCATCTTCATTGCCTATGGCAGCAACCACCACAGGTGATAATTTTACACAATCTCTTGATAGATTCGGAGTATGTCTGCAATAGTTTTGAATCGGTTTATCACTTGGTTTGTAATACTTATTGCAAGTGAACTTTAATGCAACTTCATGTGTTAATCTTCAAACAAAATTTGCAGCAACAACTACAGAGACGACAGCTGCAACATCGACAACACCACCAATGTCATCATCGGAGACAGAAAAAACATCGTCAATAATAGAACCACTAACCCCAGCAACTATAGCACCAACTGGGGTGGCCAAAACGGAGACAGGTCCTTCACAAGCTTCTGGGACACCTACTGAAAAGGAACCCTCAAGTTAATCTGTATTCTGGGATATGGTGACTTACAGTAAACGATCAATATCTTTCGAAAGGGAAGCAAAGGTAGAGATAGCAGAAAGAAACGAATAACAAAGAATGCATCAAAGTTATTGATTCAAAAGAAGGCTGCGTCATGCCTGATCACCTAGCATAACAGGAAATGAAACTCAAAGTATTTCAGTAGGGGATTGTCGATTCATGGGAAGGGCGTTTTAGATGTAAAGCTCGCTCCACTAACTTGTAGTCATTCTCCATTCGAGTCGCCGATTCATCGTATAGATGTCTGTTCTAGGACGTAGGGAGAGTCAATTAGTTGCTGTTTAACATTAGGAGAAAAAATCATATTCATTAATGCATGTATTTATGTGCACAAGGTGGAAACTAAATATTGGCTTTGGATTCTACCTTAAGACACAAATTATTAGATGATTTTGTCTCGGATGCAAAGAGCATCCGATGACAGTCTTGTTCATATTTGTAAAGTGGTTCAGAAGATTGATTTTGTATCTTCGAACCCGAATTCGATTTTATCGGTCAAGTAAAAGGGCGAGCTCGGATAGCTCACCCATGAACTTATATTATATCTGTCTTTTGGCTTTCATCTTTGGGGTATCTGAGCGGATGCATGTATTTAGACAATGGAATCCAAGGGGGTTGTTCAATGGTTGAAGGGTTATACCTTTACTTGTTCCAGAGTCAAGCATGCAGCTTGTATCATATCATGGCTTCTGAATCCTGACATGTGATCCTTCCAAAAAGCCTGGAAAAAAGTTTCTTCTATAGAAATGATGGCAAATTAAATTCAACAGGGTTCATAATAATAATAATAATATGTATGAGCTTGCATTGCTTGACAACCTTAACTTTGCTGTCTTCAACCTTCCGCTCTTTACTATTTGCATGTTCTGTTTCCACCATTTGTGGGTTCTTTTTTTCTTTGCCATTCCATTCATATGCTGCATAATTGAAGATTTGAAAGAAAACAGAGGGAGATTACTAATGTTTTGTCGATTGTCCATCAATCAAAACCCAACCTAACTTCATCTAAACATCATCCACAGGCATGCCGTCCCATTTTGAGACAGTGGTCCCCTCTAACACCAACCTTCGACGCCAGTGACTTCATTTATCCATTTTTTTTTTGCCTCCCAAGTTGTCAACCATTATCATACTAAAATGGCAAGGATGAATGATGACAAGTGTATAGCAAAAAAGAATCCTTTGTTATAAATATTACTTTTATGATTACATAAAATTAATTTTCATATAATATTTAAATTACACTAATTCATTAAAATATTTTATTTATAAATTATCTTATATTTAAAAATAATTAAACTCATTGAGTGATCTCAATGGAAAAAAAGAGATATTGTTTTTTTTTGGAGAACACAAATTCAAAAGATTTCAAAAAATACTATTTTAGAGTCTCCTCATACTATTCGAAAACATATTTGAACTTATAATTTATAAAATGTCGAAACTACAATGATAAAGATTGTGTTAATACTTTTTTTCAATAAATCTAGGAAGAATACAATGAAATATAAGTTCAAAGACTCTTAATCATTTAACTATGGACACTCGTTCTTACATATACAATGTTCGAACCTAAAATCTTAAAAGATAAACAACAAATCTCTTAACCAAACCACTTGAATTACATTAATACTTAATTCGTTTATATAAATTTAAAAATTATAAGGATCATCTTAATGTTTCCCGGAAGAAATGTAGACTTTTACCGTGTGGTACAGGTACCATACCAACGGCTTTGGATTGTCTTGATCTTGGAGTTTGATCAAACCTCTTTCTTTTCTTACCTTTTTTTACTGTTGTAAAATCTAGGATAAATTATTTATTTGGTCAGTTATCTATTCTCATATTTTAATTTGCTGGCTCAATGATTCTTTTAAGGCTTAGTATAATAATAAGTACTCAAACTATATTGTTATTCTAAAGAGATTAGTCAATTTAGATTGGACCGTAGCTGTCATTAAAAAATATTAACTGACACATGTCAAATACATAAAATATAAGTTTTTAAAAAAAACAAATTTTCTCAAATCTTAAAAAATTCCAAAACTTTGAAAATCCTAATTTTAATTTTTATACCCACATTGGCCTTCGGTCTTTGTTGTCGTCGTTGCCATCAACCGGACCTAATTGCGATTGCACCTCCACCCAAGGGTCTATCACATACGAACCTCAAATTACAATTTAAACCCGATTACGGTAAGGAAAAATGCAACCTTTAAGCGACTCCACAGGTCCCGATCGTGCAATCAATGACAAAGAAGACTACAACCAAGAAGTGAGATGGCAATGGTGACGTCGACGTCGTAGTCATCAGTGGCAAGAGAGAAATAAGGGATAGAGTTAGAGATTTGGAGATGATTTTAGAGATTTGGGTTTTTAGCAATTTTAGATAAATTAGAAATTTTAATATAGATATAATAAAATTTTCAAATATTTTAAAATATTTTTTAAAATTATCAGAACATGACACATGTCACTTAATGAAATTTTTTAATGGAAATTACGACACAGACACCTAAAATAATAATGTTTGTAACGTTAAGCACCTGAATTGATCGAAAAAAATAGAAACCTTTACTAAAAGTGATGTAGTTTGGACACTTATTTTTATATTAAACTTTTTTTTAAATAATGTAATATTTCGCTTTTATTGTTTATCACTCCGTTAAGTTTGACTATTAACTTAACAGAAATGATGACATGATATGATATAATAACAATTTTAATTCTCAAAACTCATGCATTTTATCAAATTGATCATAATTTAAAATAATTCAACAAATCCTGAATATTTAGAAATCTTATCGATTTATTCTCCAATTTAATTCAAAATAATACATATTTTCTTATTTAAAAAAAAATTGTAATCTATGAGTCAAACACCTCTTAAAAGAGAAGTTTGAGGAATACGTGGATGATCATGCATATATAGAGAAATGCACAAATAAAATACTAGAGAATGAATTTGAGTGATGATTATTAGGTCCAAAGTTTGTAAAGATTACGAAAAAAGGACTGGAGGAGACGAAGTAATAGAAGTTGCTTTTATGCATTTTCAAATCGGTAATTAATGCATGTCTCGTTTGAATTCTTTTTTGAATATAATAGTATCCACTCGACCCACATACATGAAGGCTGCAAATAACAAAGTAGACAGTGAGACAGTGAGAGTGTGGCACATGCACTTGTTTTCCATTATTATTCTTGGTCTAGTCTTAAATGTTTTGTTTTAGGGCGCCAGATGGTGCCTGTGAAGGGAAATAGGGGGAAGGATGGTGCATTATTTAAAGTGAGAGATGATTCAGATAATTGCTGGGTGGGTGGAGATGAGATGAGATGAGCGTGGGGTGGTCGGCCCCTGCATGTGCTGAGAGCGCGTGCCACTGTAACGTGGGTACATTTGGTCTCTCCTCTAAATATCACCTTTTAATTATTCTTTTATTCTACTCCCATTTTTTTAATTATTTCTTTCAACCATATCAAAATGTTAGATTGAAACAGACAATTATAGTAAGTCATAGAGAGCTTGTATTTGCTTTATATGGGTAGGACCTAAGGGTGTGGTAGGGTAGGGCAGATTGGGTTAGGGACTTGGAATTTTATTTTATATAAAAAAATGAATTTATAAAATTTTAGAATGAATAAAAATAAATTAGTAATATAAAATATAAAAAGATTTGATAATTTCATAAGGTGATCGTCCTTACTCACTCCCATAGGGTCTATCCCTTACAAGGATGGGAGAGGCGCACCAAGTACATGTAATAGCTAGCAATTTGAAGTAAATTTGGGTATTCATATTTTTTGAGTCATCGATACTCCGTGTATATATTATTTTAATTTTCTCTAAATTCATTTTAAAAAAATACATATGAAACACATAAAATTTAAAAGTTCATAATACAAGATTAATGCACAAAATTAATAATTTGAAGTTAGTTCTAAGGATAAATATTTAGTTATATATATTTAAATTTATTTTCAAAATAAAATATTAATATTGATCGTGATTTTTTCTTTGAATCTCATATTAACAAATAAATAATTTTGTTTAAAAATTTTAAAACATAAAAATATGTAATACAAAACTATAAAGAATTTATGAATTTAATTTTAATTTTAAAGTAAAATATTAAATAACCTAAAATAAAAATATAATTAAAATTAATATATATATTAATACTATCGGATCGGGTTGGATATCCGATTATAAAACAAGTTAGGCCCAGACCCAACCCAACTACCCGAGAAAAATCATGGGTCGAATATTCAGCCCGGTCATATTTTTTTAGAGAATTACACGTTTTCTTTTTTTTTTGTTCAAGTCAACGGGTCAACGTCTCAGGTCATGTATTTTTTAACACCCCTAACTTTAGGTGCCTCGGTCGTAACAGACGTTAAAATATTTCATTAAATGACATGTGTCACGTTATGATAAGTTTGAAAATTTTATTTAAAAAAACATAAAATATAATTTCTTTCTAAAAAACCCCCCAAAATTTTCAAAAAAAAATCTTAAATAAAAACGTAACATTTTCTTATTTTTTTTTAAAAAAAACCTAAAATCCTTAATTTCAAACTAGCATTATTGTTTCCGACCATTGTCTTCGTCTCTGAACGACCACCCACCCATCATCGATCACCCAGTGATCATTAATCACCCTTGTTGTCGCCTCAAACCCTTAAAACCCAAAATTTCCAATAATCAAATCCTTAACCTTCATATTTAAATTCGTATAAGGAGTGGGGTGTTCATGGTGGGATTTATTTGTGGGAGTAGGGTATTCGACGATGAAAATGGTGAGTAGGTGGCCGTTCGACAATGACGAAAGCAATTGATGATGGCGACGGTGGCTGGCGATGGCCAAATACATGATTTTAATATTAGTGATATTCCTTTAATTTTTATGAAATTTGGGATTTTTTATGGGAAAATAAGGAAATTTGGTTTTTTTAATTTATGAATTTTATTTTTTTAAAATAAAGGAAATAAAAAATTAAACCACGTGCCAAACATTGATTGGTTGATTAACTTCTAACAGAGTTTTTTAACGAACGTTACGGTCGAGCACCTAAAATGATAATGTTTTTTAACATAAGGTACCTGGATGAGTTGAAAAAAATGGTATAATTTGGACACTTATTTTATAATTAAGCCTAGTTTTATTTGTGCCCAATCTTTCAAAGGATACATTCTTTACTTGACCATAAACCTTTCGTGTCGGGGGCATAAAGTTAGGGTTTTTTTGGCCTAATATCCCAAGCGGGTAAATTATTTAGGGTATTGGGCATACCCAAACATATATTGGAAAATACGATAATTTCTACAGTGCACTTCGAACTCGTCACTTAGAGGTGACGAGTTTCATCGGATATTATTATTAAATGGTCCCGAGTAGTGGATCTTATGTGGACCATTATTTTATTATCATTAAAATGACTCGTCACGTCCAATTGACGAGTTCATTTAAAAAAATAAAATAAAAATTAAAAAAATAGGTGTAACTCATCACGTCGAGGTGACAAGTTCATTCAAATTCAA